TCACCCCTGTTACATGCTGTACAGGCCCCAACCTGTTTCCCTACAGGGAAACTTCCAGGCTCTTGCCTGGAAGCTTCCTTCTGACAGGGCCTACAGGCCCCAGCCTGTTTCCCTACAGGGAAACTTCCAGGCTCTTGCCTGGAAGCTTCCGCAGGGTCTAGGCCAGGGAGGCATTGGCAAGAGCGGCCTCCTACGCATAGGGCATTGGCACGGCCAGCCTCCGGCACGGGCCAGCACTATAAAGGACTGGCCCGCCCTGCAGGAGAAAGTCAGTCGGCAGTTGTAGTCTTCAGGATTCGGGAGCAGCCCTCTGGAGGGAGCGCTGCGTTATAGTAGTGGTAGTGTTAGCTAGTAGCCTTCGGCGCTGGGCGCCATAGCTAGGATAGTGGTAGAGAGAGAGAGAGAGARCTTGGGCGGAGGCYAGGGGTACCTACCTGCAGCGCCGKTKCTCCAGCTTCGTCTTCAAGGTACCTGCAGCACAGCGCCACATCACAGGTTAGTACCTGGTTCGTAACAGTGAGAGAGAGAGAGTCCTTCTYCCTCTTCTTCTCAGTCCACCATCTCCTCCTCTCCCTCTCAACCCCTGACTTCACTGCATTTGCAGACTGCGAGAGGAGAGATACCGAGCTTGGTGATATCGGATCCAAGACTCGACTTTTTGGGATTCARACCTGACAACGAGGGGTTATTTGGGATCGGTGACAAAGACTTGGTGTTAACGACACTCCCATCTTCCTCCCTCCTTTCGTCTGATCCTTACCTCTTCGTCTATGCATGTCTGGACCTGGCGCTTTCTTCCTGTGTGCAGCGCCAGGCTCCTTCACACCTGGTGAGGGGTACGATGCATGTTTGGTCTGAGTTCAACCATCGGTTGGACTAGCTATCAACATTCTAGCAGTCTGTTTCGCTACTTGCTACTACGTGTGTAAGGTCAGTCCTTGTCAGGTCAGTCTTTGTATCTAAGTCTTCCCTGCGCTATTCAGCACTTTTGTATGTATGAGAATGCACATTGTCTGTCGAGATTCTACTCTCACCGCATTGTCCATTTCAGTCCTTTTCGTCACATTGCAGTTCCTCGGTTATTACAAACATCACATATCTGTGCATGTAACACCCCGGAGAAGGCTCGATGGCTGCATAAAACATAGGTATACAGAATCCGGGTAATCCGGGTAATCCTGGACAAGGAACACTGGATCGCATTTAGAACAGAAACACCTATCTTTGGATTGGCTTTTGACCCCGCCAACTGGATATTCACATCATGCCAGAAGGGGTTTGAAACTAATAGAAAGCAGTTGTATTCCCTTGAAGTTAAAGCTGCCTATCGTATGATGCATACCAGGATAGATCTAAAAGAAAAGGTAATAACATATGGATGAAGCAACGGAATGTGGGAAGAAATTCTGAGATTCAATACGTGTTACGATCCTGGCTATTTCCTAAGTGCAAACTCACAAGGAAAGACAGTGCCGCCCGATTGCGAAAGAAATGAAAGCACTTGCAAAGAGATAGAGACCAAAGAAGAGGAAAGAAGAAGAAAGAAGAGGAAAGAAGAAGAAGAAGAGGAAAGAAGAAGAAGAAGAGGAAGAAGAAGAAGAAGAAGAAGAAGAAGAAGAAGAAGAAGAAGAAGAAGAAGAAGAAGATGTACACCAGCAAGACCAATTACAAATCCCACTTCTTCTCCACTATTCTCCTCCTCTCCTCCTCCTTGTCTCCACCAATCTTATTCTTTTCCCAAATAATAATAATAACAATGAGTGGTTGAACCAGAATCTGCGAGCACAACTATAAGTCTACCATAGCCATGGCCTCCCTCTTCTCCTTCCTCTCACAGGCCTAGGCTATGGCGGACTACTAAGGGCTTTGCCCTCCTGTGCAAAAGACAACGCAAAGCAGATACAGCTGCTGTTCTTCAGGCCACCATGCCTGACTCTGCCCCCAAGCTTCCTTGGTGCGGCACAACCCCTACTGGGCCCTTCCAGCTGCAGCGCCTATCAAGGTGATGAAGATGGTGTCCACCATAGCCAGGTAGATACCTCACCACTCTCCTCCTTCGCCCTCTTCTTCCTCCTCCTCAAGCTGGGCTGCTCGCCATAGCCAGGCAGAGCGCCCAGCTCCCCTTCTTCCTCCCCTGCAGAGCTCTGTGAACCAGCGCTTGCTCAAGCAGCACAACGTCCAAACTTGCATATCACAAATGAGGAGGAGCTACTCGCTCCTCCAGGAGATATAGCGGGCTACTTGCCTCTTGGGTGGTGACTTCCAGGCCGCGCGGCCTCCAAGCAACTGGTACCTCCTCCATTTCGGAGGGAAACATCATTGCAGGCTCTGATATCGTCCGCACAGGCGCTAGACTCAGGCTACTTGAACTGGTACCCTCCTACCTCTACCCTACGGCTACTGGGCCTCTAAAAATGCCAACTTTTTGTCTTCTTCTGCTCAGCCTCCAGTTCCCGACACATCTACCACAACTTGAGTGGTACTGGCCTACCTGCTACTCGAGCGTTTTCCTCCCGCTGCCCTAAGTGTCGCAGGCCTACTCCCGGCTACTTAGTGTTTTTCCCGCTGCAACCCTCAAAGTCACAGCCACAAGTAAGTCCGGCCCTGTTGGCCTCCCCGCTACTTGTGTGTTTTTCCCTCTGCAACCCTCAAAAGTCACAGCAAAAGTTAAGTACCGGCCCTGCGGGCCTCACCACACACAAGTGCCCTGTCGGGCCACACACACACAATCAACGTGGGCAGTCTTGTGCGTAAGAGGCACAGTAAAAGGGGAGCTGCAAGAACAATGAAAGGGGTACCCCAAGGACAACCAACTGTCTAATTATAAAATTGCTCTAACATGTTGGACATCTCAAATGCTCTCGTTGTCTGCAATAGGACAAAGACTGCTTTGATTCTGAATCTATTCACCTGGGTGGAATTGGGGCTGTTGTGGGGAAAGTCTAAAACACACTCAGGCAGAGGTGCACTCAGAGAGGCACACGGACCAGCAAGCACGCAAAGACACACACAGACTTAGAAAACGAGGAAATCCCAGCAAGGCATACATTCCAGCGGCAAAACCCAGAACTCAGCAGTGTTCTCAGTCTGTGTTTTTACATACGTCTTAGTAGATGCTTTCCGGGAGTCGAACCCAGTCCAGCAAAAGTAGTGTCATTGCAGTGGCAAATAAACCACCATTGCCTGCCTACTAATGACTGGCTGATGGACAGAACACAACTCGAATAGTGGGGCCTTGTCCTCCCATGGTGCAAGCTCTGCAGCACTAGCTACCCGGCGCATAAGATCCCAAAAATAATCGACATGGTGATGGTGGGACCGAATATGGCAACAACTGGGCACATATTTTCAAGGGCCATGGGAATGGAGGGCACTGCTGTGTGGGGCCTGACAACCCGAGCAAGCCAGTGCCTTTGCCAGGAATATGTTTGGGTTTGGGCGCAGGGCTGTCCTTGGGGCCTCTGGTGGAGGGCACTCATTTAGATGGCCTGGCTTTTACCCACACCATAGAGCACCAAGTACAAATGGACCTACTCACACAGTGGGAAAAAGTGAAAGAAAAGCTGGCAACTGTGCATACAAAAGCAGAAATCAAAGCAACCATTAAACAACCCTGTAAAGACTGGCTGGGGGGGGGGAACAGGGCGGTTGGATTCCAGAGGTGGATTGGAAAGGGGGGCAGGGGAGAAGGCCCGAGTGGACTCACCAGGGACTACAATCTCTCCTTTCATAAATGGACTAAGATCGATGGATAGATCTCGGTGCACCCCTCTCAGACTTCCCAGATCACCTCCCCCCAAATCCTCTCTTTCGTAGGTAGAACCGCAATGGTATGCGGGGAGCTGAATTATGCTACTTGCCAGTGGATGGGGGGGGAATGCTGGGTGTTGTACGGAATGTCTCAGGCGCCCAATAGCAGGGCTTAAGAGCCACTCTTCTCATCCATCCTATGGAAACCCGTCCAGTTAATCTTCTGGTCCTAAGGACTCCTACCCAGGACCATCAATGCTGATGGGAAATGGAATTTGCTCACTACATGCCAAGTCTTGTTCCATGGGATGCTGGACCCCTTTCCAGCAGGTGCTGCTCCGCACCAATAGAAAGGAGCCACACGCGAGGGGGGGGAAAAAACAGAATCACTCTTGAACTTCTCAGAAGGAGGGCTACGGCGCTGTTCATTGTGCACGACCCTGATTGCCTGCAGGTGCTGCTTCTCAAAAATAGATGGATCCTTGGAAGTCTCGCTGGCTAGCTCAGTAGTTTTCATGCCTGAGCTGCACCAAGCAGGTGCTGCCGTCGCTTTGAGTGGCCTGAGGATGGCCAAGGCCAGGATGATGCTAGTCAGTTCGCTCGGTACGTTGCGCCGCCTTGTAGCCCGTAGTTGTGTGGGAGAATGAGGTCTGGTAGAGAGACCTGGGGAAGTGGCCTGCATCACCAGGTGTGCGCTCTACTACGTGCTGGTGAAGGCCTGCTCAGGTCCTACTGTAGCCGGTTGGGACATACCCAATAATTCTGTGGACCGTGGTTGAATTCTAGTCAGAATCATCTTAGCTGACATCCATCATGGCTCAATTTACTCAGGATACTCTCAAGAGGCATGGACTCCGAAAACCTGTCTCTTTTTTTCGTTTTTCATTCTTCGGCCTAGGCAGCTCACTTTAGAAGGTGGTAGGAGCAGCCTCCTAAAGTGGCACCTAGAACCGAGTTTCTGGCTCTTCGCCCAACCTTTGCAGGCATTGCATCCCCCTATCCAGTCTTTCATAATTCAACCAGTCTGCTGCTTGATAGTAGTTGAGACATTTACACTGTGGAATCTGTGTGGATGCCATTTGTTTGCTAACTTTGCTATGATGCTGCATTGCCACCTGGAAGAGTACAGTCAACCCCTGGTCCCCTGTGGTCCCCACCTCGGGATACCCATCATAACAGAAGTTAAAAAAATAAAAATAAAACTCATGACATATAATCTTAGAACAGTATCAATCTTGAATTACTTGGGGCCGGTCATCCGTGGATATATCACAAGACTGTCGCCCTTTTTTTTGAAAAAATAGAAGACAGAGCATCAAGCAGCAATGTGGCAGACCCACAGCTTGAGGGCAACCTCTAAAGTGTAAGCTGCCTTCCCTTTCAATTGAAAAGAAAAAACGTTTGTGAGGAGGACGGGGGGGGGGGGGAGGAGGGTGCAGACAAAGGCAGGAGAAGTTTGAGAAAAAGAGTCGTCCTAGATGAGTGGTGTGATCCTTTGTCACTCTGTCTGTTTGTCAATGACTTTGGCAGCCTGGTGTTCTCTCCCACCCTTTTTTTTCTTTTTGTTTTTGAGAAAAACACCTGCGGAACGGCTGCAATAACAGATAGGAGTGATGGTATGAGCATGCACTCCTATCTATCTTGCTGGTGGCTCCAGTCTATTGGTGGGGAGCTTCACCTGCTGGAAAGTGTCTCCAGCGTCGCCTGGAATACAACATCGTCAACTGTTGAACTTCTTTGGAAAGGAATAGTGCTGGATACTATGTGTGAGCAATGAGCCATTTTTTTTCTTTTCTTTCTGGACCTCCTCTTCGTGGGATACTCAACGACTCCTATTGAATTATGAATACATTCCTGGTTTGCTCACCATTTAGTGATTTACGCTCACTGATCTTACTCCCATGATCATTGCAGGTGCCCCATAAGGATGGCCGCCATTTGCTGGTTCTGGATGGCGGCAAGTTCACTTGCGTGTCGGTATCAAATGAAAGGAGGTCGAACACTTTCCGGCTCTGCTTTGATCAGCACTCAAATACGCTCGCCGAGAGATTGCCAGCGGACGATGCTGGAAACGATCATGGCAGTAAGATTCAGCTTCCAGCTTTGGATATTGATCATCATTCTGGGGCGAATGGAGGTGCTTGCTCAGTGGCAACTGAACAACCAAGTGACTGCTGTGAAGTTGAGACGGTGCATGTCCATGCACACGTGCATCACAAGTCCACTGATCTTACAGAGGAGGTTACCATGGAGCAGGTGAAGAGCATTCACAGCCGCTGACAATCTGAGAATGGAGTTCAATCATCACTGGACTTATGGGGAGTTAGCAAATGCACACCCCACTGAACAGCCCTCTCTTTCCTTCCATGGGTGCAGATGTAGACCATAATCAAGGTGGCTTGTGCAGATTTACCAAATACATGCCGCACTGGAAATATGTGTCTCTGTGTGTATGAGTGTGGGGGGGGAAGGGGGGGAAAGGGGGGGGAGGGGGAACGTGTGTGTGTGTGTGTGCTTGTGCGTAATTTACGTATAACACAGCGCACATCATGCATGTCGGCCCCGGAAAGGGACCTATCACCGCTACATCACGGAACATTAAGCCGCAAAACTTAATAGGCATGGGACAACTGATGGTTGACCATCATGCAAATTGCAAACGAGGAAACACTCACTGCGGGCACACTCTTTCAGCAACAAAAAGCTTCTGTGTCAAGTTTGGGTGAGCTTTGAGGGGACTCCGTTTTGCTGACTGCACCAGGTGCACCGGCAGCTAATCAGAGGAGGAGGAGGTGGTTTACATGCAGGGGACAAACACCAATGCCACGTATAGAAGCACATGCAGAAAACTCACTACGTGTATTCCTGCATGCTAGCATGGATGTAGTTACCTGAGGAAGACCGAATGTTGCTTGTCCACCGACCACATCATGCACTGCAGTATTATTTGCTGGCTGCTGTTCAACTGACATGTAGTCCGATGAGCAAAATAATCTCAGAAAGCTGACCTGAGGGTGCATGATAGCGTATGCAAGGCATTACCATTAGATGCACAAGAACACTGCCATGCTGGGTGTCAAAATTGCGATGTGAGAAAGAACAGGGGGTAGCAGGGCAGGGGGGGAGGATGCTGTTAGGGATCACTTTGTGACGTCAGAGAAGCAGGTGCATTCACAGGGATCGCACTTTGGATGAGGGGTAAGGAGAGCAACCACGGCAGCGGGATATTGGAGGAAAACCAGGTAGGCAGGTGGCTTACAAGACTTCAGGCTTCAGCTTGAAGGGGTTCATCCAACGTCTGTTGGCTTTTTTTTTTTTTTTTTTTTTTTTTTTTTTTTTTTTTCCTTTTTTTTTTTTTCAGTTTTGCTGCTTCCGTCTGAAGCCCCTTTTGGGGGAGCATCACCTGCTGGAAACCCGGTCCAGCGTCCCATTACACAGCTTGAGCACACACCGTGCTCAGCATTTACAATGTTATGCACTTGACAGCATTGATTGCCCTGTTGCCAGGGGATTGACTGCCTGGGATCTCAGAAGATTGACTGTGACCTAGGAAGACCTCTTCAACCCCCTCTAGGTCGCCAGATGGGACTTGACATCACCGGTCTCCTGTCGCAGCCAACTCTATGACTCTGGATATCTCTTTTTTGTTTTAACATCATCCCAAGCTGGTATTGTGGATGGGAGGACCGCCCCGCAGATGTTGTCGTCTCCTGAGTATGATGGTCTTTCGTGTGGTGACAATTGTGGTTGGCCGTGAGAATGCATGCGTGATTTAGATTTGCAATGATTGTGTTCCTCATCTGTTGTCACTTTCCAAGGCATTCTTGTTTGTCAGGCGACCATTGTGATCTCATGACTTTGCGGCTTTCGTGTGTGCACTTCCAGTGTAAGGAGGAAGACAACTGTGCATTGCCGATGCCATGGAGCCATGAGCAAACAGCATGTGCACGCAGTTCATCTGGTGACTCTGATGAAGAGGGACATATGCACAGAGAAGGCTGTGGCCATAATCAAATCCCGCATGGTGATCACATGGACTGGTTAGTTGGACCCTTGGATGATGGATCCTACCTTCTCCATCACCCCCATCTGAATCAGGATGGGGAGGTGTCTCATTTTCACGACCATGGCCGGTTAATTCGCATTGGGAGCTCGGGAGGCACCCTGAGACGGCGGCATCCCCTCCAGGTTCTCACCCTTTTCAATTACATATACCCAGGCGATCCAAGCAAGGCAGGCTTCCAGCCACTCAAGACCTCAGAAACCGACTGGGATGGACAGGACATACAAGAAGTAGATAGGCCAATCGATAGAACTGGACTGGAAAGTCCTCGTTGCTCCCTGCCATACTGCCTCAGCAGGGCTGAATCAGCTGAGAACATGGATTTGGATCCCGACATGGGTTTGGGAGGCTCCGCGAGCTTTTCCCACAACTGCTCGCAGATGCATTCGAGGAATCCCTCTCAAAAGCTGAAAGCCTGCGCACCTTCGAAGAATGCAGAAGCTGAGCCACTGAAGCTGGAGAAGACAGTCATGAATGTCATGGGAATATGCTGCCCTAGTGAAGTACCATTGATCAAGAAAATTCTTGAACCTGTACCTGGTGTTGCTGAAGTCATCGTGAATGTTCCGGCAAGGAAAACAACTGTGATTCATGACCCTGCAAAGCTCCAGGATTGGCAAATTGGTGAGTCAAAAGAAGTTTGCGGATAAAAAGAATCAAAGTGAAGCCCGCCATTCTGAAAGCGGCCGCTCAATTCTGTTTCCCTTCCCCCCCCCCCTAAGGATCGGCTGCGTCCTACTGAGGAAGGCGATAAGAGCATCCTTCCTGAGGAGGGGTGGCAGAGGTTGTGATGGTTCCGATCTCATTCTGTGTTTTCCATGGCAGCAAAGTGAAATTGAATCCCCTTCTAACCCCCTGCTGCAATCTTCCCCCTGTCCAGCCAGCCCAACAACAGAAAAGGCTGTCTTTTTCCCCCTGTCCTGCGTCCCCAACAACAGAAAAGGACTGTGGGAGGGGGGCTAGAGAGGGGGGGGGGAACCATTCACACTGGATGAACGCATGCTGATTGATTTCTTGGGGCGTGTTTCAGCGGGTGTGTGCGCAGATCTCAGGGTAAGGGCCTCGCCACACCACTCTCGAAATGTGAAAGAGACAAAAATGTGGCAGGTGCATCTGGCCATGTTCGAGGGGCAAGTTCATTCTCATTTTGCACATTTTGAGAGTGGTGTGGCGGTGTCCTAATTGTATTCTGGAATGGTTCTTGTTCTTTGGGTGATGGATTGAGTTCAGTGGTGGTTCCTGCACCATTATCGACGTTGCTCACAAAGAGGGCAACACCAGGTTCTATAGGCCATGGCACTCGGTACCCGGAGCACAGTGCTCGTTGGAAGGTGACTGCTCTTCACAGCTATTTTCAATGAAACAGACTGTACCACAATATCCCAACATTGAGGGTCAGCAGGACCACGAGTTTCCCCATAGGTAGGCACGAGCAACAGTTATACCGTAATGCCCAGCTATCTAGGCCCAGGGTAGGACCTTTGAGTCAGTGAGTGGGAGAATCAATTGATAAGGAAAGAAGAACACATCGACGATTACGAACCTGTTGCTGCCACAAGTGGCAAGTGCGTCAGGGGTTATACAGAGAAAAGTGCCCCAGGCACAATGGTGCGACTGGTGTCGTCCTCACGTCCATGTGTCAATGGATGTGAACGCCATCTTGGATGGGGAATTGAGGAAGGCCAGTGTCACATACAGGTGTGAAATGGGAGATCACACATGACCCTGTGCCACACGTGGGGCTCTGTGAAGCCATGCATCTAAGATCACACACGCACTTCATTGCACACACACACACACACACACACACA